CTCTCCTTACTTCTCTCTCTCCCTTTCTCTATGCAAGAACCTAAGAACATGCAAGTCTGTTATTCTAAAACTTCACTTTATTATTTATTTGCAACAAATGAAAGTCTTTTTTTTCTACTTTTTTTTTTTTTTTTACCTTCACTTACCTTTCTTCTGCTTTGAAAAGCCAAACAACTTTTACTTTATTCCTTCCTCCTTAAGAAAACAAAAATTGACAACATAATTAGAAATACTATTCCCGGAATAACTATTATTATTAGTAGTAGTGGTAATACAGTTGTATCAGTCATAGAACACTTGGAACTGAGATGGAAGCATTTTCTCAAGGAAATAAGGTTATAGCATTTCTTCCAAGTTAGAAATGTAGAAATACACCTCTTTCAAGTCCTTAACCTTTGCATTTAGAGCATCTAAGAAGTGTGAAAGCTGGTGGCCTTGCCTCACCCTACAGGCAAATATGCAGAGGGCAGACAGGGTCTGCATGGTTGCCAGCCTGAGCACTAAAGTGCTCTGAGTTTTGAGAGTAACAGCCAGAGTTGGGCTCTGGGGCCATGCTGCACTAGCATTTCCTCTTTTTTTTTTTCCCAGTTGACTGCCAAAGTGACTTAAGGTTTCCAGTTAATTTACTTCCACCCAGGATTCCAGCTGCCCACCAGTTGCAACTGGCCCCATAAAACTGGGAGTGAGGGAGAAGTGGGTGGGAGACACCTGACTTAGGTGTCCCCTTATCCTGGTTGGTTTGATTTAGTTCTGTGTAAGAATGACAAGAATGTTTTTCACAAGAGTTAACATGAGGAGGTTGACATAGTTAGGTGGGGAGGCTGAAGAACTACTCGATAGCTCAAACAAGGGAGAGTGAAAATTGTTTTTCATTTTGGCTCAAAATTTTTATGGCATTAACCAGCCATAAGCATCTGATTAAGGCTGTCAGCAGTCTTTACAAAATAGGTGTCATGATTTTAAAACAAAAAGTAACAGCAAGTGACCGTTTTTTAGTTTTTCAGTTTTGAAATATAATTGGCATATAACATTGTATAGGTTTAAGATGTACAACATAATGATTTGATATATGTATATATTGCTAAATGATTACCACAATGTTTAGTTGATATCCTTCACCTCACAGTTATAATTTTTTTCCTTGTGAAGAGAACTTTAAAGATCTACTCTCAGCGACTTTCAGATATACACTATTGTTAACTTTAGTGACCATGCTGTACATTCCATCCCAGATGTTTTGTACCTTTTGGACCATTTTTACCTATTTCACTCACCGCCTACGACCATTGCTTTTAAAACTGCTTACAGGCAGCAAAATGTCAACACGGAAAACAAAAGGAGAAAAACAGACCTGTGTGTGTGATGAAAGGAAGGGTAAAACTGCTTTTATATTTTTCTTTGTGTGCGTGTGCGCGCACGTGTGTGTTTCTTTCCTAAAAAGGGAAAGTCAGTGAGTTTGGGTGAGGGATATGGAGTGGAAGGGAAAGTGCCTGTATGTGTCTTTCAGATGTCTCAGCAAAATCCACAATTCACAGCTCCTACCCAGTTATCCTCCCAGGCCCCACAGTCCAAGCTCAGTTCTCCTCATTGGTGATTAACACTCTCTTTGGTCAACATTCAGAGAAGCCTGTAGCTTAAGCTCTGCACCTTCTTTCCCAGAAGTTGTGGTTTATTGAGCAGCTTTCCAAGCTCGTAAACACTTTCATCCACTTTTCTTTCCCTCCTTGGTAGACAGTGGGAAGAGGGGCAACTGAAAATTATTCCTTCTTCTCTGGAAAGATGTGCATTTCCTCATTACTCGGCAGTTTGGACTGGAGGCCAGCTCTTCTTGGAAATGCTATACTAGTCAACAAGAGTCTGAAGGTGCATTTGAAACCTTTTGGAGCCTAGTGTCTTGTGCATGAGAATGTTATTAGAACAGCACAGACTTGAGTAGGTCCACAGTGTCCTGCCCTTTAAGTTGGTCATCATTGGTGACAACACACACACATACACACACACACACACACACACACAGACACACACACACACACACACACACACACACACACACACTGGAGAGGTGAAATTCCACATGGGAACTCCTAGCACTGAATAGCTTAAAGAAACAGTGACAGTGACTCTTTTGTTAATCATTAACAATAGGATCATGTAATAGCAACAAAGGTAAGCAGTAGATTTCATTTATAAACTCTGTTTTAGGCCATTTTGAACAGCTTTCTCTGCACTAAATTTCCTCCCTTTTACTGCACACATGGCTACTTGAAAAA